TGTACATATGAGATGTGTGGCTCTACCAGTAATTCCCCCACGGGGTCAGAGGTTAATTGATGATAAATTCACCATGTGTGAGTGAGCCACACAAATTGAACCATCGCCGCCCCCTTTCTCCGTTGCGAAAGAACTGAGAAATAAGCTGAAAAGGCATTTAATTAATGAGCAATTGATTAAATCATAAACAAAGCAGCGCACGGACACCCCAGCGACACCCAATCACCCAGTCACACAATCATACAATCTAAATTGAATACTCAACAATGTCATGGCATTTTCACTACTTTTTTCCCGTTCTATCTGCATTTTCTTTTCGCTTTTCCCCCGACATTGTCTCTCTCTCTCTGTCTCTGTTTCTCTGACAAGTGCAATGATTTCTGGACATGCCACATCAAATGGACGTCGACGTTTGACTCTCGGTGCGTTGTAATTGTTGCCGCAATTTGTTGAAATGTCAGAGTGCCTGCCACTCCGGACTGTGCTGCACTCGAACTTGTCAGGCCCCCACATTCCACCAGGGGGACTGGATAATGAATGGGACTATGACGGTGACGGTGACGGTGCTAGTGACGGTGACGCTAACTGTTAATATAGTGCAATGGTTACTCTTACGGGGAACGATACTCTGGGCTTTAGTTTTATTATGCCAGAGGCAGTAACTTGTCTGGGTGTTTGGCTGCAAACAAGGGTCGAAGTGGATCTACTTATGATGGTAATTCTAGCAGACTTTAAGTGCGGATATACTCGTACTTTTTATGGTCTTAAGTGGATAGATAGGTGTGGCAAGAGAATCTAGAGCAGGCTCTGTAAACTGTGGACTAGATAGCCTTTGAATATATATAGAAAAACTCACTCTCATTAAATCCTATTCTTCTTATGAATATTCTAATGGAAAATCTTTCAATTGATATCATTGAAGAGGTCGTAGCTCTCTCAGTTCCAGCAGAGATGTCACGAGCAGCAAGCTCGTAAGATGCTTAAATATTAAGATTGGCCTCTGGCCCTCTGGGGCTATCTGTACACCTATTAAGTATTCAGAAAGTATCTCTCGGTGGAAACGCTCGTTCTGCGTGGCACCATAGATAAGAGGATGTGCTGTGCAGAGGCGGGAAATGGGAAATGGGGCGACACCTCGTGGTGTCACTTCCACACTCAGATGCACGATGCACGGCCCGACACCTGACAGCCACTCAGCAGCGAGTGCTTGTCGGATTTTAAAAATAATAACAAAAACGAACGGAAAATGTCAAAAAAAACAACAAAAACAACAAGAATGGAAAGCAAAAATCATGCATGCAAAATGAAAGCGAAACGGAAAATGGGAAAACATGACTGGCGCTGTGTGGGAAAGGGGTGGAGGAAAACAGTAGCAAAAGCTACCAAGGATGACAGGACACTTTTGAATGTGTCAGTTAAATGAAAAGCCACACACCCAGCCGCACAGAACAATGGCTAGTTCTTTAAGATGTCCTTCCAGACGGGTATTATGATTTAAAGCAGATCTTTGCCAATGCAGAGAAGGAAACAGGTAAGGTAAAGGTATGTCTATATGGTAAAGCATTCATAAGAACGATGGATCTGCAAGGGTATCTGAAGCTTCGACCTCCGAAACTATTATTTCTTCCTTGTCTTGTATTTTTTGGGTCTCCCGCTGCTACTAGAGAGCCGGAAAACCCGAAAAACTTAAGAGATGTCAAGGTTGATGAGTTTGTATCTGTGGAAAACATGCACCCACACACACACGTCTGCGAACCCCAAGCACAAGTCAAAGTTCGGACAAAAGTTTTGCAAATTCAATAGAGCAGGCGAGCTGAAACCATTTTGTGGCTGGCTATGATGGAGAGGCTGTGTGTCGCCACTCTGCCAGCCCATCCCCGATAGCCCCTCCCGGGCATCTCCGATGACAGCACAAATATGCAAAGTCAAGTGGCAATTTATCATGCAATGCAGCGCAGCGCCCCGCGCTGCCAAAGGTGGCGGGCCGGGACCCGGGACCCGGGCCCCACCGCTGCGAGGGCCACAGTGTGGGGTTAAGTGGCAAACTAAATTGAAACGGCAGCGCCGCACTATGCGTGGGCTGCTCTGCTGACACGCCCCCAGCAAACGCAGCGGCAAACGCTGCCGCTTGAGCCCCCTGGACATTGAATGCAAGGTGATTTGTGTGTATATACATATATTTCATAGGAGAGAGAGGGCTGCATTTGTGGCACCTTTACGAGTAACAGACATTTGTGTATAAATCAATTGTTCCTTATCAATGAATGGTTTGAGGTTTATTTACTTCTTGCTCAGAAAGTAAACAATTATTTATGGCTCCCATAAATGGGCGATGTTGTTTTAGTGTTTTCTAATGTCTATGATAGGAAGTAGTTCTTTATTTACCTTTTCGATTACCTCTTAACTAGATTACTTCTTACTCTGTGTTTGTTTGCAAATAAAATCAGAATTTTACATATCGCTTTTACACCCCGTTCCCCTTACCTGTTTTCAATAGTGTGCACAAGCCCCATTCCACTCAATATCGAATATATTTACAAGATATAATAACTTATCCAAACATGTCTTGCTGTTTGTCTTGCCATCCTACCATTTCTGTTTGTCTTAATGTTGAGTTTTCATTACGATTCGGGGATTATTGTCCCCTCCTCCTCTAACAGCTGAGTAAAAACAGTAAAAATCTCCATAAACTGCACACCATTTTATTGGTACACTATCTGTCAAAACTACCAACCTGCTACAACGATATCACAGCGAATAGAACATTTGGATATTTACACATTTTCCGCTCGCCTTTCTTCCGGCTGGCATGGGGCCGCGTGGCGCTGTTTGCTTTCAGTTCGTTTGGCATTAAAATCGATGCGGCGCTGACCTTTCCCTCAATTAAAAGCGCACACATACGAACGTAATGCAGGCACAGTGCCGGCGAAAAGTAATGGGACACTTTTTCAGCAGAGGCGTTGCTGTCGACACTTTACCTCATTAGCGACAGCAGCCGCTTGTATAATTAATGACTGTGCCCCGTTCCCGTGCCTGTGCCTGCGCCTGGGCCCGTGCGGGCTTCATATTGATTCTAATTTGTGGAATTTACTGGATAAATATGATAAATACAGGAGAAGGAAAGGCAGCAGGACTACTCGAGCGGAATTCCACCCGACTAGCTGGCCAGAGTGCAACCTGATCGGGCGAGAGAGGAACACTTATCCCGGCAACCGAGGAAAGTAATTAACCAGCCCCGATTTGGCTTAGCTTGGCTTTGTCACTCTGCTGGTCAATCCGAGGCAGTTGGTCACTCGACAATCCCTGGCGGAAATGCTTGACAACCGCAGGGCGGTTGACGGGACTTGACCCCGGAAATGTTCTCTGCTGCCGACAAGCCTCAAGAGATCCCAACCAAAGACACTCGTCCTCGTCAGTAAGTGACCGCAGCAGCAGCAGCAGTGGCAGGAGCAGCAGCAGTAGCAGAAGCAGTGGCAGCACCAGTGGCAGCACCAGTGGCAGCAGCCGTGGGTGGTCGGTGTGGGAGGAAAGGACAGGCGTTGCGGTGGAGTCGGAACGGGTTGTCAGGGAACTGGGAAAGACGGAGTAATATGCGTAATTAAACAAAACCGCAAGTGGGACACAGCAACAGGAATAACAGCAACGAGTTCTTGGGAGCAGAGGATGCCGCTGCTAAGAGCATATACGTACATATACATCGTATATATAATATATAAGTGCGGATAGTCCGAGTACAAAGGGAATAAAGTTTTCGGACGGGGCAGATGCAGTGCACTCACTACAAGCGAGTCATCAATGTTGCACACTGATGAATGATTACTCTCACTAGAGGCTACAAAATATAAACAATGAAGGAGCAATGTAGACTCATTTCAGCTTCTAAATTTTGTGTATATCTTTCCATATCTGTATTCCCAAAGTGGAGAACATTGAAATGTGCAACAAGGAATGGTTTTACTCACTCCTTTATCCCTTCGACTCTTCTCTGCTTCTTAATTGCACTACAAAGTGTGACATAAATTGATGATACCCTTTGGCAAGAGATGACACAGGACTTAAATTAAATATTTGTAGGAACAATTCTGAGGCTGAGGCTGAGTAAGAAGAAAAAACAATCAGAGCCAGAGAGAGAGAGAGAGCAAGTCATGGTAGGAGAAGGAGATAAAATCAAAGGAAAGAGTCAGAGAAGAGAGCAAAAATGCAGTGCCACATAAATGTGGAGCATGCAGATTGAAGTGTCGGGGCTGTGTCAGCCAGAAATGGGAAAATGGAAGCGCCGGCCCGTTGGAAAATCAGAAGCATGTGCCAGGCTATGGAAATGCCATTCAAAGGGAGCTTAATATTGAAGTACCACCCAAAAAAAAAAACAGCCCCACGAACTTTTAGTGCCGTAGAAATTGATCCAAAGACAGAGGGCAAATATCGCCACAGCAGAGTACGAGTCGAAGTGCAACAGATACTTTCATATCTGTTAGATACAGAGCAGAGGCTTCATATGCAACAATGTGGCATCGATTTTCTATTAGCCACGAGACACTTGAGCTAGAAAACTAAATACCGACAGCAAATATTGATAAAAACGGAACTGGTGGAAAATGAAAGGAAAATTGCAACAAAAATAAGAAAGAATATTATTGATGGTACGACGAAGAAATACCCTCAACAGAAAAACCTGTTCCTCATTTCTTTTATATTTATACAATTCAACCAAGTCATATCTCCATATCTTTCATGGATTGTGGTTGTACCTTTGTGATCTTTTAATATTACTCGTTCTTTCTTTTACACGAATATCGGGTAGAAAACAACAGCAATATGAATGAACCTAAAACTCGTAACTGTTCAAAGGCAACGGAAAGAACATAATAAAGTCTGTCCATGAGACCGAAAATAAAACAGAGAACGTAACGGGAAGGAGGGACGGGACGGGACCCCACCCCACACCACACCACCCCAATGTCAGGCCAGGGCTGGACTGGCTGGGCCGAAAAGTCACTCACCTGTTAGGGCTGCCAAATTTAGCATAAATCCAATTAGCCGCATCGCGTTTTCCACTTTTACTGATTGTTATTAATAATATTTGATGTGGCTCTGGTTCTAGGCCACAGATTTCAGTTCCACTCGCAGTGCCCGCGGCGGGAAGAATTATCTCGTTTATCTAATATCAAAATTGTGCCGCGAGAATTTCACTTCAATTGTTTTGACTTAGTTTTGCAGTTTTTGTTGTTTGCCTCTTGTTGTTTTTTGGATCCGATCCACCGGAGAGTCGGATCCGAGCGAAATCTCACGACCAGCTTAGCCGGCGAGAGCGAGATGGAGCCACCGGACAGAACGAGACGGCGATACACTATATGTGGGGGAGTGAGAGAGACGAAGTGTACAGAACCAACGCGCACAAATTTCAGAAATTGAATGTGATTTTTTTTTCTCCGAGCATTTTCTCCCGTCGAGCCGAGCAACATTTGGGGCATGAAAGTGTTGTTGCAACACAATCGCAGTTCGAAATGAGGGGCAAAGTTCATGGTGAAAAGCTTCAAGCTTTGAGGAGCTATATAATTATAGCACAAATTATAGCAGCTATATAACAATTACAAATAGTATAACAGTATAAAATCTGCTATAAAACCTGATATAAAACAAGGCGCAAAGATAGGCGCAAACTTGGTTTTATAACAAATAACACTGTATAGTACTATTTTACGCCAGGTGGCTACAGTGCAATGTAATAGCTCTAAAGTAAAGCCTATATGGCGGCTCCGTTCCATTTTCCGCTCAAATATATAAAGTTATACATATTTTGAAAGCCCACTAACACTAAATTGCGACGTTCCCTCGTCCTCGAGACGCGTCGCGGGTGCATTACTTGAACAGAGTCGCCTCGGACTCCATAAGCCGCGCCACGATGGACGAATCCGAGCTGCAACCATAACCGGGAGCTCACATTCAAAAATGTTCGATTTGGCGCGCACCACTCGTTATATTTTTCAAATGAGACCGTATATTTTGAAATATTTCTGTGGGACGATATATTTTAACGATAAGACCGCGGTCACACTGCTATCGATAGTGGGCACCATCGATAGTATACGATAGGTTTTCGAAAAACATCGGCACTGCAATCGATAGTGGACACCATCGATAGTATACGATAGGTTTTCGAAAAACATCGACAGTGCAATCGATAGTTCTCCACCTGTAGTTCAAAAAACATCGCTGACATTTAATATTAGTTTAATTTTCAATTTTATATAAAAACCCAATAAATGCATGTATTTCGAATAGACCAATCATGTATAGAATTGATTTATCAATCGTACAAAATTGAGTGGGCATGGCTAAATGTTCCATATAGATAGTATTATTCAACGGAACAAAGAATATGAGGAATTGGTCGTTTTTTTGAATCGAATTTGAATTCGCCGCAGTTCGCTTTAGCAACAATGAGTCCCATTCCATACACAAACATGCTGCTAACATACCCTGGGGGAAATGGATGTTATAGAATTGAGGAAAAAGGGTATACAAAGGCCTATACAAGCGTTATGTCTTCAAATTCCAGCGACATTGCAACTGTTTTTTTGTTGAACTATTTTGCTTAAACCTTGTTTAGTCAAAATACAATAAAAGCAAGGACTAAAAACTGGCCAGTTAAGTAGAAAATTTATTCATTAATCGTATAAAATTATGTGGGCAGAGATAAAGGCCCGGTTGACAACATTTAAATCCTTGTCGCTCACATTCAAAAAAGTTCGATTTGGCGCGCACCACTCGGTATTTTTTTCAAATGAGACCGTATATACTGTAGAAACTGGTTTTCGCCGCGCTCCCTGAGGTGTTTTTTAGTGCTAAATGGTATTTTTGTCATCTATTAATTTAATTTTCAATGTTATATAGAAATCCAATTAATGCAAGTATTTCGAATAGGCCAATCATGTATAGAATTGATTCATCAATCGTATAAAATTGCGTGGGCATGGCTAAATGTTCCATATAGATAGTATTATTCAACGGAACAAAGAATATGAGGAATTTGAATTCGCCGCAGTTCGCCGCAGTTCGCCCCATTTCGCTTTAGCAACAATGAGTCTCATTCCATACACAAATGTTGCGCATTCCATACACAAAAGTTGCGGCAACATTTACTTGAAACCCGTTTTTTGGTCAAAATAAAATACATAAAGGTAATTAAAAGAAGCAATCTTGTAGAAAATGCATTTATCTATGGGATAAAGCTAAGTTGGCAAATCTATATAGCTTGAAATATAGGCAATACCCGATTCGCCACAGTTTCGCTATTGCAACAATGAGTCTCATTCCATACACAAACATGTTGCTAGTTCCAAGCACACATACCCTGGGGGAAATGGATGTTATAGAACTGTGAATACGTTTGTCTTCCAACGCTCAGTAGGTATCAGGATCGACATAAATATATACAAGATACTAATAATACACATGAATAAGTCAAAAACATATCAATTTGAGAAAAGGTCTTAATAAATAATAACAAAATTAGCGAAATAGGGTGTAAAAATGCCTATACACGCATAATGTCTTTAAATACCAACAACATTGCGACTGTTTTTTTTTGGAACTACTTTGTTTATGCATTGTTTTTGTTTAAATACACTAAAAGCAAGTATTTGGAATAAACCAGTTAAGTAGACAAATGTTTCATAAATCGTATAAAACTATGTGGGCATGGCTAAATGTGCTATATAGCCGAGAATATTCCACGGAAGATAAAAAACGAGGAATATGTAAAATATAACTTGAATTCGTCAGTATATTTACGGTATATTTTTTAAGTGAGACGGTATGTTTCGGTATATTTCCGATATTTATCGATAAGTAAAATAATAAATAAAATGCTGGTAAATAAATAAATAAAAAATTAAAAAACTTTTGGAATGCGTTCCAGAGCCCGACGACTGTTGATAAAGAAGAAACAAAGGCAATGGCGACGACAGAAGCATGCCAAAGAGCGTGACAGGCAGGAGCAAGAAGCAGAAGCCAGGCGACTGGAAGACCCCGAATACCACAAATGGCTCCAAAAGCAGTCGGAGCTGGAGAATTTCCAGCGTTTGGCTACCGAGCGCCAACAGCAGGAGGAGGAGGAAGCCTGGCTCCGACGTGAAGCACTCGCCCAGCGGCAATTTCGTTTGGATGCGGCCAAGCGGCGCCAGGAGGAGGAGGAAGTAGAACGCTTGAAGGATGAAGAGGCAAAGGCGCTGACTAAACGAAAGGAGGAGCAGGAAAAGCGGCGCCAGGAACGACAAACGTTGGCCGAAAGAGCTGCCGACGAATTCGAATCGATGATGAAGAGCATGGACGAATATCTGCACAACGCAAAGCTGGAAAAACCTCCGGATCATCTGTTGCGTATGGTGGAGACGCACCCCGAAGAGCGACCATGCGAGTTCTTCACTCGCACAAACTCCTGCCGCTACGGCCACAGCTGCACCTTTAACCACAGACGACCCATGCTGGGAAGGATCTTGTTGATCCGCCACTTTTTCAGCCATTCGCTGCTGCATGACAAGAAAGTGCACAAGGAGTACGCCAGCGGCGATGAAGGCTTGGAGATGACTGAGCACGATCTGCGCAGCGACTATGATGAGTTTTTCAATGATGCCGTCACAGAGCTGGAGAAATTTGGGAAAATTGTAAATTTTCGTGCTTTGAGGAATACGCTGGAACATCTTAGTGGTCATGTCTTTGTGGAATACGCGAATGAGAAGTTTGTCTAGCCCCTCAATCCATAAACGAGTTCCGTTAATTAATTTACTCTTCCTTTTCAGGTGTGCCTTGCGTGCCTTTATCAATCTGCAAGGTCGTTACTATGCGTCCCGGCGCCTCAACGTGGAGTTCTCTAATCTTCACACCTGGCGTGGCGCGGTCTGCGGTACGTGAACTGCATGCCAAGAGCCGTATCCTTTGACAAAACAAACCAATCATTTGCAATCACGCATCTCTTATTTATTATACCATTTTTATCCAAATCTATTGATTCTTAAAGGTTTGTCCTTAACACGCAAATGTCCCAAAGGTAATAGCTGCGGCTATCTGCATTTGTTTCGCAATCCGAACAATTTGTTCAACAAGGATTTGGAGTACACGAATACACCAAGAAGTGCCCGCAATTCAGGAAAGTCTCCCATGCCGAAGACTCCAAGGTAAGGTCATATATAGTTCGTCCATTCTATAAGTACTAAATATACATATGTTTAATTTTTGCAGCTGGAATGACGGTGACGATGATAGAGCCAGGAACTGGCGCTGGTCGGAGAGTCCTGAATTAGAACTGGAGAACTCCAAGGGATTGGGCAATCATATTCAGACGTCGAGAAGAGAGCACGATCTCAAGAGTCCCCGCCGCACAGAGCATCATTCCAGAGCAAGAAATGGCAGTGATCGTAGGACAGACTGCAGCTCATCCAGATCTAATCGCGAATACTCTTCTAGAAGAGATCGCAGCTCATATAAATCAAATACTGATTGCCACTCCTCCAGATCGAATCGTGATAGTAGTCCTAGCCCTAGAATATATGGTGAAAAGTCCCCCACATCGGTTAGATCCCACCAGGAATTGAGTTTCCACAGAGATCACAATTGCTCCAGATCCCCTCAGTTCCATCAAAGATCTCGAAAATAAAAACCACGGTATTTATTTAATTTTGTTTTATGGGACTTTACAAAATTTTATTCAATCTCTTTATGGGAGGAGGTGGAAATATGAGTGTCTCAAACAAGAATACTAAAGAGATTCAATTTCAATGTGTTGTATAGATGAAAGTAAGAGCAAAGGTCCAGTATAAATATTTCGTCACTTTGTGTGTGCAGTGGTCGGAATTCGACTCAATTGTTTACCACGGAAGGGGGTTCTACGTGTAAAATTGGCAGTTTCGGAACGATAAAGTGAAATATAGTATAAGGGAAGGGAGTACGAGTGGGTGCTGGGGGTGAGAGAAGGAGCACATATACATATGTGGTGGTAGTGTGCATGTAGGTGGTAAGATCGGAAATTATAAATTCTAAAGTCTATTTGTCTTGCTTTCTTCCGTTTTCGTCGTACACATACAAACAAAAATTATACAAAAACTCGTTTAAGGAATATTATAATAAGTAGCTTTAAAATTAGGCAAACAACACGACCTTCTTATAGACGAATGCCAGGATTTGTGGCAGCCACATAGCGCAGCAGCTCCTCGTTGTCCTCACAGATGACGGGCTTCTCGTGGTAGCAGGCAACATCGTGCCATGCGATGCCATCGTTGTAGACGTTGTTCAGCACGGACAGACACTGCTCCTTGGTCTGGTTGATATCGTACTCGGCATTGTCGGGCTGTGGACGCTTCTTGTGGCCGGTCTGCGACCAGGGATTGTAGCCCCATCCCTGAGGAATGCGGTTGGTGGCCTGGATCTTCTCGCGGGTTGCGGACCAGAACCATCCATAGACGCTCTTGGGCTCCAGATCGGGACGGTTCTCGCAGCCAGCAAAGTCACAGATGCGGCCCGCTGTCCAGATGTATGGGACGTCGTTCTGCTGGATCACACGGAAGATCAGATTGTTTTTCTCTTGGGTCTCCAAAGCCACCAGGTCCATGCAGTATTCGCGGCACAGGTTACGGCCATCCAGCCAGTCGACCTTCTTGTTGGCCAAAGCGGGCACGTGGGTGGTTAGGAACATGTTTTTGCCGCGGTAGGAGAACTCCTTGGGGCCTGCAACAAAAGATAGAGAGTGCGATTAGCCTGGGTGTGGCTCAAGACCGGTTATCATCGTCCCGAGTTCAATTTCAATTTCAATGCGAGTCCCAAAGCAATGGACTTGTACCTGTACCTCTGTACCTCCGATGCCTCGTCGGATACCTCATCCATTGGCGAAAAAGCAAAAACGCCACGGGCCTTACACAACTTCCCCACTCGGGGCCCCGAGAGGTTACGCAATCTTCGCAATTTATGCAGCATGCTTCTTTTTTGCGCTGCTACTGCTACTGCTGCCACACCGAGAGCTGGAGCTACTGTCTGCCTCTGTTTTGTGCATCGCAAAAGGTTTTGTGTGCCTTTGTTTGTCTACGGGGCAACAATGGGAGGCGAGGCCCCCGCGCTTCCTAAAAGCCAGTGGTGGTGTTTGGAGGCACATCTGTGGGGCCATTGTGCCACCAGTCCCCGTCCATGTCTCCTGCTTCTTCTGCTCTTTCTCGAACTTGTTTCACATCGCTGCCTCCGTTTGGCTACTGCACCTTTTCGCCAGCTTCCATTTGATTAGCTATATGTGCGATATGCCACGCCCCAAGCACACGCCCCACGCCCCTTGCCCCTGGTCCCTGGCCCCCTCTAGCCTATAGCCTTTTTTCACTGCTGCTGGCACGCGTCATTAGCCGCGTCGCTCTTTAAGCCGCTTTTACGGGCGGGCGGCGCAGTTGCAGCCGTCACTTTTGCAATTTCCAGCCTCTGACTTCACGTCAAATCAGCTTAAGTCCCCGCATAATGGCCTTATTTGCCATTGTTTGCACATTATTATTTATTTAAGCTGCCGCTTCCAATTTCCCCATCACACATTTCCAGGCTCCTTTGTGCTGTGGTGTGGTGTGGCACCCGGGTCAAGGCAATAAACAAAAAGTACCCAACATTCAATACTCAATGCCTCACTTTCTTCGGCTGTATACTATTTTCCTCTAGCTTGAAAAAACTTGCATAATAATCAGGTAGTAGCGCTAGCGCTTGCAGCATTTCAGTTTTTGCGATTGGCATCTGTAAATGAGCTGTTAATTTCCACAGAAAACCCCCTTTTCGTCTCTCGAACATGGCTTAGAAAAAGCCCCAAGCGCCTGGTCGAGTAAACGTATACCTTAGAAATACATACGAAGCACCTCGTCGAATATGACTTAGAAAAACCAGACCGTTTTCGAATGTTAATGATTAGGCGAATGCATGCCTGGGAGAGTGCCATTGTTGTTCGTCCACAAAAGGCAATTAAGTTTTGAATAGTTAATCAGTTGATTTAACTATTTGAGACCTACAAAAACTTGCGCCTGTATAACTGGAAGTTTCTAAAAAGATGAAAGATCTAAATCGCAGCAGCAACCAAACTGGAAATGCAACTTTGTGACGCCCCAAAATTAAGTTGCATGTTTAACTGCTCGACCTGTATATGACTGCACACCACACATATTGTATATGTATTTTCCTGTGTGGTTGGGTGTGTGTTAGGGTTTGTCTAATTAGCAATAACTGCAAAGTGTTCATTAGTGTACCGGATATGCAGTGGTGATGATGATGCTATTGTTTAAGCGTTTTGCCTGGCCGCCTGGCCGCCTACCCGTCTGAACCCTGATGCAATTTGTGCAATCTCAAGCGATGACTGGCAGCACCGATTACGTACAGCAGGCAGCTCTTGCACTGGAAGTAAGAGTGTTTCGCACAAGGACCTAGTTTATTCGGTTCTTGATAGTTTCGGTCAAGCTATGCCGTGCCAGATGAAGCAGAAACGATTAGGTATTACCATGGAGTAATCAAATATAACAAGTTCTCTTTCGAAAACATACGCAATTGATGAAGAAATACTCCGCAACTGGTTCTGCGTGTAGGACCCGCTCCCGTTGAACTAGAGCTCACATCAGAGCCCGCACCTAAACAAGCTTTGTGGAATTTAATTTTTAAAAATAGCCAGGCAAAGAAAGTGTGTGTTAAAACTATTAAAACAAATGCTAACAAAACACGTCAGCGACCTTCAGGCCAGCCCCCGCACCACTGTGGTGCTGTGGCGCTGTGGAGCTGTGGCTACACCCACACGTCGCATTGCCCAACAATTTCAAGTGCAAACTTGGAAAACGATGAGCCGACTGACAATGGCTTAATATTCTCAACACGTCTCCCCACTTTTACTTTTCGCCCAGTGCATTTTTGAGGCCCATTTATATCTAAACTTTAGATTTGGATTGGAATACTTACGGCTGGCGCACTTGGCGGGCACGGGCAGTGAGAGGAAGCGACCCGGCTTGGTCGCTGTGGTCGTTGTGGTGGTTCTGGCCGCATTGCCGCAGGCCACCACCACGCAGAAAGCCGCTATCGCCAAAGTGACTTTCATCTGCAAAAACAAAGACAAGAATGGGTGGAAAAAGCGTGAGTAAAACGTTTGTAAATAAGTCAAAGTAAAATATGGTAAAACCAGCCATTCATTTGTCCGATTTGGCAAGTTTTTCGTACAGTTAAAGATGGAGATACGGCTACAGCTACGGATATGTAAATTGTTAACACGTTGTCATTAACATAAATTTGTACACGATTATTGAGCGATAAAGATGCCATTCCATTCCGCACCGCGCCCTTTTGTCCGCTTCACCAATGCGTGCGTATACGCAATTTTGTATAATTTTTCAACTCGATGGCGAATCAAAGATGTAAGCTGGCGTGTGAGATCGGTTTTTATGTCAAGGATGCGCAACCGGTTGCCCCCGGGGGCACTTGAGAGCGGCCACTGACACACTGCCACACTGACTACCAAGCGCCGATGGCTGCTGGCGTTGGCTGCTGGCCGATGGCTGATGGCTGATGGTGGCGACGACACTTGAGACTTTATTATTTTTATTGTGGCGCAGCGGCAACGTGATCAGCATCGAGCATCGAGCATCGAGCAGCGGCCAGATCATCGCCAGCACATCACATTATTCATAAGAAACATAAATGCGTGTACCGCAGCAAGAGATACCCTTGTAGAGCCCGTATTCCTAAGGGAGCTTTCGATGATGTTTTACAAGACACCTCTAGAACTAAGGGACCAGGCGGTCTCCATCTGCATCACATCGGAAAGTGTTTCCTTCTCCGCCTGACAAACGCCACTTCAAAATAGTTATGGCCTGCACAAAGTAGGGTGTACAAATTCATTTAGCATCTGCATCAGCTTTAGCGGCAGCCACAGCAAACATGTTGATTACACAAGCTGGGGGCTTTGGGGCTCTGGGGCTGACCTTAACTGGTTTTATTGACTTTTTATCGCCTGCTTTCCGACGTTGCGTGTCTGCAGGTCCGGCCGGGCTAGAACCTTCCACGTCTTTAGCATTTTAATTAAACTCTAAGCTGTTTCTATTCCTTATGCTAATGCAATGCAATGCTCATTCATCGGGGCTCAATGTCCCCAGACAGGGATTGATCTATGAAATTAATTAAATTCGCTTCGATTTGATTGCGTATCTCCCATTGATATTTATCGCGTTGATTTGACCGCCTGCTGTCCGCTGATTTGGCAACTATAAATCATTAATGACTCCGCTTATCAACGGCGGCCAGTGGCTGGTTTGGAAATTCAAAGAGATCAATTTCATGCATAATGAAAAGTGGATTTCGAAGCATGGCCTGCCCATTATTTATTTCATTTTCGACAGCGACAGCGGCAGCGACATTTCCGAACTGAAGAGTTCAAACGTGAAACGCGCCTCTCAGCCCGTCCATCAGTCCATCCATCGGTCAAACAAACGCGTTTGGAAATATGCATTTCAATATCTACGGGTATTTTTGTTTCTTTTTTGGTTTATCGTTATTTTGTTTGTTCATTTGTTGCGTTTTGTAATTTGTCCATCAGCGCCTTGGCACTTGATTGTTTCCCACTCCACGGTCCCCGTCTCCCATGCCTCGTTTCATGCATGTTAATCCATCAGTCGACGCGGCTGATGATG